GACGATCTCGGTATCCTTTCGATGCCACGAAATTGACAGCGAATATATCTCGATTTGGTCCATTAACTGCCTTCTGTTATTTGGCTTCTCGTGGATCTTATGGATCTATTTGGTCACGTTCAACCTACGCCTTCTGATTTACTTGGCACGTGTTTCTTTGTAGCGGTGTTCATAGTTAACCTCAACTCGACAACACGCTACAAGCTAATAATGAAGCTAACAGAGTGAATATATATTTGAACAACACATATAAGCGAACAATTGTTTTCAATTAGATCGTCATCAGGCTTTACTCTAATATACATGAATATTTATACGAAAATTTTAAACCAATCAAGGCAATATGAGTTAATAATCACAATGAAATAGAATAAGTCACTACACATAAAATAGGTAAAAGTACAAGTTGATAGTACGAAGACAGGTGAACAGATAGTGGTAAGAATAATAAACTACAATAACAAAACTCTTATCAATAGTTAATCGTTGGAAATAGAAGGTCAAATAAACATGGGTAAATAGACAAGGAATAGTAATCACAAAACCTTAAAAATCATTACGTAATAAGATGTGTGTAAATAATTAGATAGTGAAGAATAAAAAGAGGCGGATAATGACAAACAAATAATGGATGTGGAAATAAGGTTAACAATAACACAGATAGAATAAAATAAATAATGATAATAATAAAATTTATAAAAAAATATTTTTAAAAAAAAATTGTTAGTTAAGTTATAACTGGCCATGGAAGGGATAGGGGAGTCACGTATTTCTTCTGTACACATAGATTGGGGTTATATGTACGAATTCCAATGGCTTCAGCTATATATAGGAGACGGGAACGGACTCCGTCGGGAAATGATGGAGGTATACGATAGATAACTCGAAATGATTTCGATTTCTCTACTGCATGACCGCTATCAATAAGATGTGCTAGTATAGAACTGCGAATAGTTTTTCTCTGACCCTTTATGTACTAAGTTGGTAGATGTTCACTCATTCGTTGGTTAAGTTGCCTGGTAGTACGCCCTATATAGCTATCTCCACAGGAGCAGCTGAATTTGTAAATGCACATGGAAGAGGCCAACTCAGGTAACTTATCCTTCGTTTGAGTAGACATCGCTGGTCGACAAGAGAAGGTCAACGCAAGATTGGCTGCGTAGAATGTCTTGGTGATTACTTTGGTTAACCTATATTTCAGAGTGTCACTAGCCACATCCCCGTTGAATTGCACTTTCATGTATAAAGGTTTCTTACGAACAGTCGAAATCTCCGACTTCTTTATTATATCCTGCATGTATTTCTTGATGAACGCGCTGGGGTAGCCGATCTCGGTCAGTGAGTTGTTGAGAAATTCAAGCTCCTGACTTAGAGTGTCTACTGTACAGATCTTTTTTGCTCTGCTCGTGAGACATCTGACCAAATTTCTCTTGTACCGGATGGGTGTGAAACTGCAGAAGTGAGTATATTGGCATGAAGAGGGGTTTCTTCTATACACGCTTCTACTTAATGTGCCGTCACTTCGTCTGCTTAGTGTGACGTCAAGGAAGCTCATCTTCTTATCATGCTCGCTTTCACCAGTGAAGGTGATCGCTGGGTGAACACTGTTGAATTGGTCTAGGAGTTCCTCTTTACTAGTGTTTTGGTCTACGATAATGAATGTGTCGTCAATGTATCGGCATATAAATCGAGTTTCTTAATAGTCTCATTGAGAGGTCCGTTTTCTAGCTTTGCTAGGAAGAGGTCAGCTAAAATCGGGCCTAGAGGCGAGCCCATGGCTATCCCGTCTATTTGTCTGTAGTAAGTATTGTTGAAGACAAAATGTACATTCAGAGTGCATCTTAGGAGCAGTTCCCTTAGGCTATCGTTAGGCAGGCCAATGTTGATTTGTTTCTTTGATATTTGCTTGCATATAAAATCAATAGTCTCTATAAGTGGTACGTTGGTGAACAAAGATTCTACATCCAATGAGATCATATCTTTTTTCATGCTGACATTAATATTTTTTACTTTGGAGATGAAGTTGAAGACATCTTTTACACTATTTCTAACAACTGATTTGTGTAAAGGTTCTAGGGTTCGTACTAGCCACTTTGCGATTTTGTGGTAAGGAGAATTGTACATATCTAGAACTGGGCGTAGAGGAAGACCCGATTTATGTACTTTAGGCAAACCATACAATCGTGGTGTAAATGATCCAGTCGGCTTAATTGAATCGTAAATCTCAGTAGTAATTATTCCCTTTTTCGTTAGATCTTTAAGGAAATTGGCCAATTGTCTTTCTACTTTACTATTGATGTCACAATTACTAGTAATTTTCTGAAATTTGCTAGAATCGCTAAGTATTGTTTCCATTTTACCCGGGTAATCTTTTTTGTTCATGAGGACTATACCTCCTCCTTTATCTGGTTTGGTTATGGTCAGGGTTTCATCTTTTCTTAGTTTCATTAAAGAGTCACGGTGCTGCTTGGTTAGTAGGTGATTTGTGGTACCCTTACTATTCTTGTATTGTTGGCAGCTATCAACTAGTGTGGTTTTAAACCGAGCAAGGTCATCCAATGAGGTAGGAATCAAGTCAGTTGTTTGTGAAAATAAATTCTCAAACTGTACATCAGTATCTAATTGGTTGATTCTATGTCTACTATCACAGAATTTAGGTCCCAGAGATAAAGCTTCTAGCTGTACTACATCTAGTTCAATATTGGAAAAATTATGTACGTACCGTTTCGTGTCGAAGGGAAACTCCTTTTCTGGCCTCTGGTTTTCCAAAGTTTTCATTAGTTTCGTCAACGTTTTCTCAGATCTGTTTTTGGAAATTTTCCCCACATAATCCATAAACATTGACTGAAGCTCTGAAGGAAGGTTTTTAACGGAATATTGTCTCTGAAGAAGATTCCTTTCGAAGTCACAGATATTCATTTTCAAAGTATCAATTTGATTCGACGCATGTCTTTCAAGTGTTTTTGCATTAGGATAGATTCGGTTACGACGTAAAGACTTCCAATATATTTTAGGATATCTATTAGATTGTATACAATTAATAGCAAATTCTAAGCTCGTTTTCGCTTCTGTGAGACGTGCATTAAACTTCAGAAACTCATTGAGTGTCTTAAATGCAACAGGGTCCCCACGCGATTTTAGAATATTAAAGATTCCCATTGTGAAAATTAGAACAACACATATAAGCGAACAATTGTTTTCATGTGCATTTACAAATTCAGCTGCTCCTGTGGAGATAGCTATATAGGGCGTACTACCAGGCAACTTAACCAACGAATGAGTGAACATCTACCAACTTAGTACATAAAGGGTCAGAGAAAAACTATTCGCAGTTCTATACTAGCACATCTTATTGATAGCGGTCATGCAGTAGAGAAATCGAAATCATTTCGAGTTATCTATCGTATACCTCCATCATTTCCCGACGGAGTCCGTTCCCGTCTCCTATATATAGCTGAAGCCATTGGAATTCGTACATATAACCCCAATCTATGTGTACAGAAGAAATACGTGACTCCCCTATCCCTTCCATGGCCAGTTATAACTTAACTAACAATTTTTTTTTTAAAAATATTTTTTTATAAATTTTATTATTATCATTATTTATTTTATTCTATCTGTGTTATTGTTAACCTTATTTCCACATCCATTATTTGTTTGTCATTATCCGCCTCTTTTTATTCTTCACTATCTAATTATTTACACACATCTTATTACGTAATGATTTTTAAGGTTTTGTGATTACTATTCCTTGTCTATTTACCCATGTTTATTTGACCTTCTATTTCCAACGATTAACTATTGATAAGAGTTTTGTTATTGTAGTTTATTATTCTTACCACTATCTGTTCACCTGTCTTCGTACTATCAACTTGTACTTTTACCTATTTTATGTGTAGTGACTTATTCTATTTCATTGTGATTATTAACTCATATTGCCTTGATTGGTTTAAAATTTTCGTATAAATATTCATGTATATTAGAGTAAAGCCTGATGACGATCTAATTGAAAACAATTGTTCGCTTATATGTGTTGTTCTAATTTTCACAATGGGAATCTTGAATATATAGTTGTAGGCGCTAAACAATACTCAAGCATACGTATTTCATATAATAATAAAAATACAACAAGTTATTACAGCATGTATGACTTTGTCCATTAAATAGGTTAACAAAAGACCTTGACTGACCTAAATGAGAATAAACTCAATTTCACGTGAGTCGCTATACTCCTCTTCGTGCTATCCGCTGATGGGGTTGTGGTCACTTCGGTTGAATGGGAACAACTCATAATGAACAAAGTGTGAAAATAGTTGATTGTTTTCCATTGTTTTGTTCAAGAAGAGTGGTTCTGATGTTCTGTTAGTGTGCTTATTTTGGGGTGGCTTGGTGTACTTTATATGTTGTATCCCATTACCGGTCACCCCTTATTCTCTTGCAACTCAATGAAAATGATCCCAGGTGTTGAAATCTGTCATCATAAGAGAATGTCAATAAGAAACTAATCATCGGTCAGGATTCGAGCTCCTAATTAAAAGGCTACTCGGACGTCTTGGAAAAAAGAGAGAGCAGCCGTATGTGCAACTCCACACCTCTGTGATTAACCGTAAAGAAAACAACTTGAGAATGTAGACCTCTTCACTATGTCCTAACGCGGATTATGAGGTAATCGGAATTTGATATTTAGATTACTGGGAAATGATTTTGAGCCTTATATATATTCTCTTCCTCTTCCTACCAGATCGATGAAACTCAGAGGACAAAACGATGTAGTAAAAACGCTAATTGCAGGCTGAGTTTTCGTGGAATACAGGTTAACACCCCGAGTAATCAGTTCTTGAAACCTGTTACCCGAAGAAATGGTGCCCACATCGTCACTTGTCTTATTCAAGAGAAGACTGAACACTTTAAAAAGCTTACTAAGAAGTATCTATCGAAGTCTATAGGCCCTAAGTCATTAATACATAAATTCGAGTCTGATCAGAATTTGGATGTGGATACAGTTTGAACGAACGGATGATCTTAATTTTTTAGGTCGGCACAATTTTGAGTATGTTCGTTACCCCTGGTTGTTTCCTGAAGTGGTCTGCTACTGTGGATGATATTGTTGAGAGAACATCCACCTTAATCAGTCATGCCGTTTCAGTATATGACAAAGTGGGATCATCTGAACCTGCTTCTTTTAAGTCAGTTGTTCTAGTAAATGTTATTATTCAATATACTGACATTTTTCCAGCTTATGTCACTGTTTGAAGCTGAATATCAAACAGAAAAAAACGCTATAGACTTCCTTCAACATATTTCCGCTTGTAAAGCTATAAGAGACGCCAGTTATGATGCCACTCGTAGACTTTCTGATGTGAAAGTTGAATTAGAGTAAGTTAAATCTTTTTTCATTCGAATCTTTTCTACAACATTTGTTTTAAAAAAAACAAGCACCAACTTAACCATCGTAACGAATTATTTGTAGCTGGCATAAAAACCTACAGATGTCTTAACTTAACCACCAAATCTCCCTATTTCGGCGTTTCCTCAAAAGTACCGTGATCGGCGAGGTTGTTGATCCTCTCTATAGTTTGGGGAAATTTTGAGAGTTTTGTACTGTTTTCTCAAAATTTTATATTTAGACTTCCCCGAAATTTCCTCAAAGAGGATAAAAGTTTCCCTTGAGTCGGGAAATTTGGCATTTAAATGTTTCAATAAATTTGTCGTCTATTTAGGCGAAAAGCAGACAACTTAGAGACATTCGAGATACGGAGCAACGAAATGGGTGAAGTCCTCACTATCCTTCCATGATAGGCAAAGAATCAAACATTCTGACGCGGTTTCCTATCATTTATTGAGCACACTTTTCACTCGACCAGAAAATAAGAAATCTGTTTATGATGCAGTAACAGACATTTCAGAAGCATATCAAGTGGAGGGTTCAAATCCCTTTATACCTGAATCAGAACGTAATATTTGTAACGTGTCCGGCTCACAGCAAGAAAATACTGTGCTGAATGCACATGAAGTTGTGACAATACCAGATGATCAGGAGCCAGATCCTGTAGATGAAGCCCGGAGTCCAGAATCAAATGAAACACTACTGGTACTGTCTAGCTGCGAAAATAAACGTCAGCTCGAACAAAATTGTGGTCCACGTGCTATTAGTCGAGAAAGCTATGGTGACTCGTATTCAGAAAATAACTGGAGCAACACGATGAACCAAATTGTACCAGATGTTACTCAAAATCACCGGAAGACAGAATTTATATTGAGTCAACTTATCCCATTTCTAATGACAGTGTACCAGATATTGATTCTCAGAATAATGCATATGATTTTGATGAACCTTCTTATAACAATGAGGGAAATATGTCAGCTGAGTCGAATGATGGCCAAAAATCTAATCTAATTCTGTTAGGCGTTGACTTCCTTAATGACTCGTTATCAGCTAACGAGTTCAATGAATTTGAAAATAATGAACTCAGATCAAAGGTTGTTCATCATCATCTAGTCATTTTTAGTGGATTCTCCAGTCAATACGAGAAACATGGTTTAAATAAAGTCCTACTAGTTATAATTTGGAGCCATAAGGACCCAACATTATTCGAGGAGGAGGAGAATGTTGGAGAATTAAAAGTTATGCATACTTTTTTTTAAGAAAAATCAAAACGCCGGGAACAGACATGTCAGTCTCTGTGCAAGGAAAAAGTGAGAATTCTTCATTGCCTAGACGATGGACTAATCGAAAGCACAAGCCAGTCACTCAGTTGCAGTTGGACCCTAGCACCAGATCCTACGAATCTGCTCAGAGGGGAGGTGTTAGCGGGACATAGACTAGATTAAAGCATGCTCAATGCATGATTGCTTTGGTGCACGCTGATTGGCTAATTCTTATCCAATCAGCGCTAGTCGATAGTTGGAGAATATTCTGGATTCTTCTTATGTAGAAACTATAAATATACCGACGTTTTCCCCTATTGTGCTTCCTACTGGCTTCTGATTTGCTATTGGAATATATCTTTTCCTGTTCAACCGTGTTTTGATTTGGGACTTGTCGAGTGAATCGGTGTCCGAGAATACTAAGCAATAGGAGTAGCTGGGCCATCAACAGTAAGAAACCAGAATTATAACAGCCTTTCATTATATAACGGAATATCCCTTTTGTTTCTTTTTTGTTCTCGTTTATTTCCACTTTATTTGTTGCTTGGACCCACTTGTTTCACAACCATAAACAAATAAGCGTGTGCCTCCCATCAAGATCCAAACTATTTTTGTATCTTGATCTGAGAGGCCGTAAGATAAATAGGGCTTACTGCGAAAATATTGAAAAACAAAAAGCCAACCGTGTTGGTTGCCATCGACTTGAGTAATCAAGAGAAAATTCGTTTAAACTGATTGCTATCTAATTTACTGGGATGTTTATGGAATGTTTGTTTTAACCGTAAAAACGACTCACTGATATTGAATTGTACAAGGTATTCCAAACTTTTCAGCCGTTATCTGTTAGTCGTAATCTACTTTTTAACACCATATAACCCTTATCACAGTCGATCATAATCAGGCTAACCTCCTTTTATAAAACTGTAGTTCTTAAAACGCAACATATTATCGGATTCCTGGAGTTTATTCCAGTTTAACATGACCTATGATGCTATTATTGATTTCCTCTCTATGTACTAAATGCTCTCTAATTCTAAATTACTTAAACTAGTACCATCTGTCATGTCTTACTGTTATTTTTCTAAATTTTCATTGCCCAGGATGCGAAAGGACGTATTTGAGAAGTTTGCTTCAGTCCAAAAAAATATAGATTCATCATTCCCCGATGAATATCGTCGTTATGTTGATAGAAAAGTTCAGCTCGGTCGGAGAAATGGTTTGTTGCTTGTTTGTGTATGATATTTATGAATAACTGTAATTGTGAACAACAGGTCTTCATCTGGATGACGATAAAAGGAAGTTGATAGAAGCCTTGAATAAGGAAGAAAATCAATTGTGCATTGATTTCCAACGTGCTCTAAATGAAGAGAACACTTTGTTAGAGTTTACAGATGAGGAATTGAGTATGTTAACAATAACAATGATAAAGTTTTAGATTAACTGAATAAGATGTTAATGACATAATTATGATAAGTCATGGTGATTCTATGCTTTGTGTGTTAATTGTTTGCAGTGTTTTAAGGCTAGAAAGGTAGGAGATGGTTATATAAACATATCCAGTTACCAGAATTGCAGGCTCGCTAATGAATTTGTCGTGTTTTTGATTATTTTATTTCATTGGTTATGAATGTTATGCATTGGAACTGAAGAGCTATTTTTTCTTTCATGAGATAATCAACAGTGATAGTTCCCTTGAGCGACTCGTCTTGTGGCGATAAAACTGGTTTTTGTATATCTTTTGTTAATGCGACCTTCTAATATGCCTTTAGTTTAGCCACAAGTCCATTATCCAGTATCGGTGGAGTAAATCGTTAAGTTGTTGCCTCGTCAGTCATACAATTTTCAATTGATTTTTCTGTTTAATGGGTATTTGTTTGGAAATCAACAAAACAATGTATTTGTGTTTTCAATAGTTGTAGAAAGTATGACACTTTAGATCCATTTTCTCTGTGTTGTTTGGTTTAGCGATTCGTTTGTGTGTTGTTATTAAAGTAGCAGAACGATGATGGATAAAACATACTTCAATGATGAAATGATGTAATGATTTTCTTGTGACAAACGGTTTTTGGAGTAGCTAGTAAAACGTTGCAGGCAAATCTATTTTCGTGTGCCGTTTTTTTTTATGGAAATTGATATAGTTTAATTTGTTTGTTTTTAGCTGGATGTCCTGCTGATTTCATTGATGGTTTGAAAAAGGTGATTCTGTTTTTTTTACGCGTTATGTTATTCTGTAGTTGTACATTCTTGACTTTTTTTCATGCAACCTAATGTTGTAATCAGTGAGGATTGTTATGCCTCAATTGTTGATTTTGAGCTGCAGTACTGAAATTACAAGTTAGAGAATGCGAACGTAGTTTGAGTAATGTGTGATATAGATAGTCAACAACAAATTGTCTTAGGTTAATTATTTAAAGAAATTGATCATTAAAGATTTGTGTGGCGCATATGTATTTGGTGCCTCCTTGTACCAATATCCATGTGTTAAAATAAATAAATAAAAAATAAAAATTTGAATTTATCAACCACAGAATAAGAATCACATCTCAACGATTTCATAATAATAATGATATTAATTACGAAATTTCCTGTACAAATTATTTATGTGTTGCCTAATATGTTATTATTTCTTTTTCCATGCACTTATGAATTAAAAATAGCTCCCTTCTGGCAAACGTGAAGTATCTCTCAAATATCCACACTACTTCCCGATCATGCAAAAAGCGTCTAATCCAGAAACAAGGAGAACATTAGAAACAGCTTTTAATTCGAGGTAAATTAAACGTTTGGCTACTGATTTTCTTTAGAGGCTTATCAAAAGTACTGGTCGTCATTATTGATAAATGAAGTTTAATGGGATTTGTATGGATGCGCTCCATCACCGTCTAGGTTTCATTTAAAATAAGTGGTTTTGTGTAACACACTTAATTTCCAACCTCTAGGTTGGAGGTCAGAATCCTGCTCAAACTAATTTGGTTTACGCTACTTGGTGATGTCACTAACCCTCCCACAACAAACAATATGGCCCAAGTCTATGAAAACAACTTTCATGAATCAGTAGATAATAGTTAGTTGAAGGAGATTTTAGAAATGTCTGGTTTTTTGACCTTTATTATGAACCTAAATTATAAATTAGTATAAGGTATTTTCCTATAAATTCACGTGGACTTTGAATTTGTTTTGGATTTATAATTTATGTTTTTAGGTGTGTTAAAGAAAATACACCCATATTGAAACGTTTAATGGAACTACGAAAAGAAGTAAGTTATTTTATTTGTACCTGTAATTAAATAATTTCAATGTACATTGGTGAATTGAGAGTGGATGCTATTCACCCATCATTATCATTATTAGTACTGGTATTACTGCAACATAATGTAGCGATGACATTCACATATACACTTTGGACTACAAACCAAACTGTATTGTGATGTAGTCCACTTATCATGGTAACCAGCGAAGAATGCAAACACATTGTTCACACTAGGATCCTTCTAGTATGGAACACTTCATTGGCAGTGACATTCCGTCGCCCCAAGATTTTCAGACGTCACAATGAGCGCTTGACCTTTAAACTAATGAGTTTACATCCAAATGTTTGCATCTCTATATCGAATTGGTTAGTTTTCCTTCAATTAAGGGGAAATATGAAAATGATTTAATAAGAAAAATTATAAATCCCATACACATAGTTCCCTTTATCAATTTGAAGAAAGCAAGAAAAAAGATTCTAGCAGAATAGCATGAATTTATTTTATTTCGTTTATTTCGTTCTCGTTAGCTGCTTTTAACCTAGGATATCTAAAATATGATTACGAAATGGGTTTAAATCACTTACGTGAAAGCGTTTAGTTGGAAGTTACGTTGAAGACACACTAGTATAGTATAGCAACAGCGTAAATGAATTCAATAGACTGAATATTGTAAATATATACCTTACGTAAAAGAACATTCTACAACATTGATTGTGACTAGAGTTCAAACGGCCAGAATATAAGTGAATACACAATGAATAAACGCTGATAGGAATAAAATGAGTAAAGCTCAGTTAATAAAATTAGATTACTAATTTGGAAGACAGTCGAAATGAAAAAAACCTCAGTTGTGTAGCAAGTACAAGAAAAAGTTTTTAAAAAATGTTTTAAGATGCAATGAAGGAATATTCGTCCTCAAGGCAAGGAGATATTAATAACCGTCAGTTTTTGAACACCTAAATCAGGTTTTTGACGTCTGATAGCAACGGCCCCAGTAAAGTTCAGAAGACTGGAGTTTGGTTGCTTATTAATCATCTTAAAAGATTGCAAGATATCGACCTGATGTCCTTTATCTAAGAGATGTTTAGTAATTGCACTGTTTAGAATCATTCTCTTTTTTGTTCTAAGGCCTTTTGGAACATTCTCGAGAAAATCCATATGTCCTTTTTTGTTCAACCAATGTAGCTGTTTTGGCAGGTACACTTAAACTTATAAACACAGTTGACGGTAACATGAAAGGGGTGCTTGTCGACCTTTGATTGGGTTATTGGACATGTTGTTTTATAAAGAATTAATAGTTTGGTTGCCGAGTAAGTTCTGTCTAATGCAGAATTAAGCCTCCTGCTGATTGTGCTTGCGATGTCATTACCTTTGAAGTTGAGACTTATAGATATCGGTTTTTTATTGACTGTAATCACTTCCGTCTTGTTTTCTTTGAGTTTTTGTCAATAGATTTCTGTGGGTAGTAGTTGTCTCTCAGGCATTTTCCAACGTTCATCATTCCTCCTAATTTGTTTGTGGCACATATCTTTTCTACCCTATAAAATTGTTTTGACTAATGCTTTCTTGTAACTGACTTGATAAAAACTATTGAAATTCAGGTAAAGGCCATTCTAAGTACTTTTTGATAAACCGAACATTGAACTGTCCCGTCTCCCTTACGTTTCATGGCAATATCAAGAAAGTGGAACGTGTAATTCTGTTCGTGTTCCATAATAAATTGTATGTTAATATGTCTTGGTTACTTGTTTGAGTCTTATAAATATCAACGCGTCAGTCAGTCAGTCAGTCAGCTACAACGTAGGACCAGGCACATATATGCATCGGTCCAGGTTGCCATACCTCATTAGCACAGCAAGATGAACACCGGATTCATAGGAGTGGTTAGGTCAAAGGTGGTAATATATATGAGAAAGATTGCATATAAGGATGCAGTACAGGAAGAAAGAATTAGTTAGTAGAAAGAAAGATATGAAGTGGTTTTAATCTTTTAGTTTAAGGGAAGACAGGGAGTGTATACACCTACGCCATTGTGATCGATTCTGAGCCATGTCACCAAGAGTCTCCAACCGTCGGTTACGATAGTTACGCGGACCCCAACCAAGTAGTCTGCATCTACCAACATGGCTCAGACTAGAGGTTGGTGTCTTCAAGCACTGATGCCACGTTTTGGTTTGGCGGTCCCTAATTCTCTTCCAACCATCTCTAACACCCGTTAGCATTGCACGTCGTGGTAATCGGTGTTCAGGCATACGTAACACGTGGCCCAACCATCTCAGTCGATGAAGATTAACAACCTCATCAACTGATTTACCATCATTACCTAATACCCTGCGTCTAACCTCACTATTACTTACCCGGTGATCCCAACATACGCCAGTAATATTTCTAAGGCATCTGTGGTCAAATACCTAGTAGCTTACGGATGTCTTCTACTCTTAAAGGCCATGTTTCGCTGCCGTAAAGTAAGACAGAACGGACTGCCGCGCAGTGTACTCGTCCTTTTATTGATAGACGGATATCTCGCCTTCGCCAAAGGTGACGTAAGTTGGCAAAAGCCAAACGAGCTTTTCGAATCCGTGCTAAGATTTCGTCCGATACCAGCCCATTAAGGCTGATCAGACTTCCAAGATAAGTGAAGTTGTCGACGCGTTCGACTACTTCACTCCCTATCCTTAGTTCAAGTGTTGACGCAGGCCAGTCCTGAAGCAACAACTTGCATTTAGAGGGAGAGAAGCGCATTCCAAACATTCTGGCATTGTTGCTTAGTGCTATCAAAAGACTCTGCATTCTATCAGCGTCTTCACCAAACAGGACTATATCATCTGCGTATTCTAAGTCGATAAGTGAACCTCCTGGTAGGAGATCAATACCCGAGAATTCAGTAGACGAGAATGTTATTTCCATCAGTAGGTCTATGATGAAGTTAAACAGAAATGGAGAAAGTGGACAGCCTTGACGAACACCACTTGAGGTTGCGAAATCAGTTCCTCATAAGCTCTGACTCGGCTAGTAGTGTTCGAGTAAAGAGCCTTTACAAGGTTTATGTACTTCTGGGGTACGCCTTTCAATGACAGACACTACCACAGAATCTCGCCGTCTACCCAGTCAAATGCTGCTTTTAAGTCAAGAGAGACCACCATTGTCGGACGTCGATAAGTATGCCTGTGTTCTAGAACCTGACGAATGGTGAATATGTGGTCGATGCAGCCACGACCAGGTATGTAGCCAGCTTGGTTCTCTCGTGTTTGCAGTTCACGAGTCTTAGTTAGGCGTCTGATAATTATCGAGGCTAGTATTTTAGATATTGTATTAGTTAAACTAATCCCTCTGTGGTTGTCACAAGATGATTTTGACCCTTTCTTATATATTGGGACGATAAGTGATTGTGACCAGTCAGATGGAATAACATCTAACTCCCAGATCTTAGCTAAAATATTAGTCAACCTAATCGCTAAAATTGGACCACTATCCTTAAAGACCTCTGGAGCCAATCCATCTGAACCAGCTGCCCTTCCTCGTTTCAGATTAACTATAGCCTTTTGAACTTCTGCTAGAGTTGGGGGACCTACTTCAATGTTCCATTCACACTGTCTGGGAATGATGGGTAGTTGTAGAGTAGCTGGAGGCCAGCTGAACTGCTTTTTAATGTGTTCCGCCGATCTTTCTAAACGTCTGGACTGGGAGTAGATGAGAGTATCGTCTTTTTCCGAAATAATCTCACACTTGACTTAATAGTTCCAGTTTCTTTTATTAGTCTATAAAGCTGTCTTGTGTTCCCTATAGTCGCCGCCTTTTTCATCTCTTTTGCTTCCGTTGCCCACCACTGCTCACCGTCGTTTCTTAGACTTTTGCTTAACCTAGATCTTATTTGTTGTCGCTCTTCATCATGTTCGGAACCTGATGGGACGAGTTTGCGAGGATCCATCAGTGTGATATACTTGGAATAAATCCACTGGTTCTTTGTAACTCTGTGGTTTAAGTCCCTAACAGATATCACTGCTGTTTCCACAGCTGCTTGTATGTCTTTCCAAGCAACATCTGGGTCAGCCTCGTTCTCAGAACTACCTAAGTGTGACCTCAGTTGTTCCTGGGACCTACTTTTGGTTTTCTCGTTACTCAACTCAGTTCTAATGAGTCTTTTTAATGTGGCTGTTTTGCGTCCAGTGAGGCGCAAGCAGATGCGTGCCCGTATTAGGGCATGGTCGGAGTCCAAGCAGGTACTCCAGAATGAGCGTCGGTGATGAATTTCCTTTAAGTGGTAAGTATCATCATCGGGAAATAGTCAGTTATCTGGCTGAAAGACAGTCTTTTTGCACTGGCATTCTGTGCTCTTTCTTATAGCATTGACTCCCTCTTCCATCTCTGTATTACATAGATTTGTGATAATTTCTCAGTTTTATAAAAAGAATTTAAAATACTTGATGGCTTTTCACACATATATTTTTAAATGTTTCTTTCATTTCTGAATCCTTGTGTTTATCATTCCCTCATATTATGTCCTTACGTTTTAGCGTGCAACAGTTCTCGGTTTTTCTACACATGCAGATTTTATGCTTGACTTATACACTAAAACTTCTGCGAATATTAGCGAATTTTTAAATAATCTTGGTAATAAACTCGAAAAACTCCGACTGAAAGAGATTACTCGCTTACTGGAATTGAAAAAAGAAGAGGTAAGATTATTCTATGGACAAAAAGTGCTTTTGCTCTCTACATTGGTAAATTATTTCTCTTGTAATTGTAGTTATTAAAATGTGTTTTGATCACGACTTAGCTGTGAAGTTACTTAGGAGTAAGATACATTCGATCCTAGCATGTCTAGACCGCAGTAAACAAAGTTGGGAATACTAAGCTAGTGTTCTGCGAAACAAATCTGTTGTAGAGTTGAATGCATTGATTAATAGGCATTCATACTAGGGATATTAATGTATATATATATAGTAAAATAAAGGCACCGGATCAAGCGTCCACACCAATTCTTGGCAAGCCAGTACTCAATTGATACAGAGCTTCACATCCCCTAAATAACCACGAACCTACCAGTCCTATACTTGTTCACCTCTGTGAACTACCAAACAAATTATTCCTCCTAACTATTATCGTCTTCTTCCCTATTACTCTCCGTGGGGTTTTTGCGCGTTGTCCGAGTACAGTGTTTCGAAGAACTTAATGTTGGTGCCCCCGATCTGGATGTTGTATCAAGTCATCTTTTGTAGTGGACCAGTTGTTTGGTTTTCTGAAGACAAGTCTGTGAGTTTGTCCCTTGCTTTTGCCTGTTTTTGTATGTGTAGATTTTTATCTTCGTCATGTTTGAACAATTGCCCAAACTTATTCAGGTTAAGACCCATACATCCCCTTACTTTACAAATCATTTCAATTTTCAGTATGAGGACCGATCAATGCTAAACCACCAGTGATTGGCTCATTATTCCGATATCTTCCCAATTCGCTGAATAAGATTGATGGTCGGTTCTGCTGTGCAAAGAAGTTTACTTTAAAGAGCACATCATGACCAATTTACATGCTAAATTCCTTGGGGTTTTTAAATCACCTATCGAAATGAACACGTACATTTCATCTAGTATGTTCGATAATAATGTCTCTGAACCATACGAAACACTTAAAAATGATGTGCCTGAAGGCAGGAGGTATAATCAATCAGCAGCGATTAACTAAACCATCCCACAACATCGAATTAGAGGAGTTAAAGGCCAAGGAATATTCGACGAAATTTGTTCAAGCAATTTTTTTCCGCACACTGAATTACTATTGAGACCATCCAACTCCGGCCGTTTCATTCTACTTGGCTACCATTATCCATTGTCACTCGATGTTCCAGTCTCATGCTTAACGTGATTAAACTCTACAGGTCACGGCTTCTCACTAGAACTCTGGGCATTTGTTGGTCATCAGTAATCGCATGATGATTGTTGTCATAGTGTGTTGTGTAGATTGTTCATCCACAGTAGGATCGTGGATGCGTACTTCCATTGAGTAGCAGTCCCCTGCTAGGTTATAAATAAATATCCAATGCTTCCCGGTTTACAACGTACAGTGATTCATATTATTCGTTTTAATAGTAATTGACTAACTGATATTTTTGTAAATAATGTCATGTGTACATGAATATGACTAAGGTAGCATACTTGCTGCATAAATTTGATTATCATGGGTCCGTTTACTTGTGCGTTTATGGGTTCGAATCACTGAGGAGTTATAAACTAGGTTAAAACAATTAATTTCGGTGCCCTTGATTTTTAATCGGTTCTACTCACGTGGTATTTTCGGACCATAATGAAGATCCTTTTCAGTTGTATTCTTCTCTCCAACCTTCATTTAATGTATATACATAGTTTGTTTCTCTCTTCCAGTGTGACCGTTTAGGATATACGTTTAATAATTGCCTAAATCCATGGGACACACGATATTATATGAATATGGTTAAAGAACGAGATTATTCCGTCGATGAAGTGGCTCTGAAGAAATATTTTCCATTGGCCACTGTAAAATCAGGTATATTGCGATTGTATCAACAACTGCTTGGTTTGAGATTTGAGCGTGTTTCGAATGCAGAAGTTTGGCACGAAGAGGTAGAAATGGTTAGTTTACAAATTTGGTATATTGATTCTTCAGTTTGGTCAAGACTGTATTGTTTTATTTCTAGAGCTAGCGGTATAGTGCTCGACTTCCCAAACTGAAGTAGTTGAGTGTGGGATTGAGACTTATTACATTGTGATTAGATTTTACATCGTGATAACACAGTGGAGCTATATTAGCTGGGAAAATGATCCATTTAGGTTCTACAATATCAGGAAGGTCGCTTGGAGAATATAGTATAGTTAAAAGCAAGAACTGAGAGCAAGTCTGAGAGCGATATCGTTGTACTAAGTGTACTGGTATGTGACGGCAGTAAGTTGGTGATTCTCTCAGACAATTAGCATTTTCAGCGATGCTGCTTTCCGATAACGGACTAAAAGTATTAGAAAGTGTAGGCTCTGAAAATAGTATAGGTCAGCTTGTCCTACGGATTTCTGTCATCAGTGGTAAGTTCTGCACGGAGCTAACACATTAAGAACTACCCCCAAACAGGCCTTGTGTGGTCGGCCTCGAACACTTGTCATTTGGGCATTGTGGTTGCGCCCCTAGGTCGTCAAAATCACAGTGTTAGCAACCAGGAAGTAAAAATCACTGTGGTTACATAGAACAGCACTCAACTGATCAACCCATCGTTATACACACTTGTTCAAGGTAACTCTTATATTATTATTATTATGGATATCCTTCAGACTGTGTAGACGGAGCAGTGACTCTCGGTTTCGGTGTTCGACGTTTAGCCACTAAGTTGCACGTTTGAACCTCACCATGACTACTTCGGTTTCGTCAACGAAATAGCATCGATAGCCGTCACTTGAAGTGTGTCTCGAAGCCAAGCACACAAATCTGTACGCGGTTAATGATAGTATCCCAACTGCTACATCGATATATTTGTTGAGTAATGAATTTCAGAAACTCGATTATATACTTTTGTAGTCGATGATATATACGCACATATTGAATTATGTAAGGTCTATGCCTTGGTCATCAGTCAATTCAATTGTTACCTTCATCTATGAATTTAATGTACCTTGAGTGTTTCCCTGTTGAGTATTAGCGATTTATATTACTAAGCATTATTTCTATCTAATTTGTTGTATGAGGGCTAAACACAGTTTGTAAAGCTTATGTCAAACTACTGACTATTCAAGTGCAATTCAATCGATTCGTAGTGTCAATAGTTCTCATAAACAGTATGAACATGCAATATTTGTGTTTATAGGTTGAGAATTCGTTTATCTTGGAACGAAAAAGACATTCAATTTATGTGAAATACTATATACACTGTCTTAATTTTCCATAAGTATGTACAAGTGATATCTGTCCAGGTGAGCTAACTCCTTCTATTGATTCATCTGAATCGTGTAATCATTCGAGAGATAATTCTAGTGATGAGTCGTGACTGGTGGAGTCTAACGGTATCAGAAGTGGGGCAGTTATCCACCACTGATGATGGTTGCTCAATATCACATATTGGTTTGAGTTAGAAATGTAAACTGCTAGATGCGAACTCAGTGGTCTAAATGTTAATTTCCCACCACTAGTCCTGGGAATTCTGTGTTCAATCCCCAATGGTGTTATAGATGCATACTACTGACAACTTTCTTACTGGTATGAAATGGTTATTTAGTGCTTCCAAGTCTTCAACAGTTGTTTAACTAAAGTCAGTCCTTGATGTAAACTATTTTCAAATGTTATTAAAAACTTAAAAATCATTTAATTTTGTAATTAACTGTGAATCTTTCTCTCTGTTTGTCTGTATAATTTTTCGTTGTAGTATTCAGTGAGTGATTCTCAATCTGATAGTTTGTTAGGTTATTTCTATCTTGACCTGCATCCACGTGAAGGTAAATATGGACATGCAGCTGTATTCGGTTTACAACCAGGATGCCGTAGATTGATGAACTCCAATAATATTACAGTGGATGAACATAGTCATTCCCCATCATTGGTAACCTCTGAACGTCAATTGGATATATCAGCAATGGTTACTAATTTCACTGCACCAGATAAAGAAACTGGCCAATGCTTTCTATTTCATCATGAAGTTGTGACTTTCTTCCATGAATTTGGTCATCTTATGCACCATGTATGTTCACATACTGAAACAGCTTTATTTAGGTAAGTAAATGTTTCTAGAGATTGAAATGAAGAGTAAATTTTGGTTAAATATACGTGAAATTCATTTATTCCTGGTCTATAGTTTTTGTAATCAAGCGGGATGGTGGCTCAGCAATTAAAACGCTCGACTTTCAGCCACTAAGCCACTGGTTCGAACCACTCTACAATTACTCAATTTTGACAAATGAGCTTAGAATCTATGACCCTCACTCATATTGTTTTTCGAAGCCTCCCAAATTATTATGTACTTGGTGAATCAGTTGAATTATGTCGTAAATATTGACATCGGGTAGAGCGATTCATTGTGGTAGTCGGAAACCGTATGCTTTAATATGTACCTACGACGCTACGTTTCACACAATGTTCATATTTCAGTGTTTTATCACGTTATCGATGTTTATTCAGTTGTTCGATTAACAATCTGTAACGAATTATTTTTCGTAGATAACTAATTAATTAGTTATTTGTACTTGACCTCCCTTTCTAAACATCATTTTCAATATGGTTGATACAATAAAACCGACTTCAAATATATATGTAGTATTTTTGTTTTCTTGCAACGTAGTTTCATCGACATATTTCTTTTGCTACTGAACTTCGTTTTGGGATTCCCTTACTCAACAGGCTAATGTTTCTTTACGAAATTGTCCTCCAATATAAAATTAATTATTTATTTAGAGAAATCAATCCTGTTTGTTAATTTAGTTAAAACAATGAACAGATGGAGTTGATTTGGAAAAATGTAATGCATTTGTGTTATGCATTTCAAACAATCTGGTCACACGTATACTTGTCAACGCACTTATACATGAAAACTAATAGTGATCGATAGAATGGAATCACCGACAGACATCAATTGATAGTTGTAAATAAAGATCATATGGAAAGAATATAAAATTGTTACATCACCATCTTACCCTATAAAATAGCTTAAAGATTGATTACCAGGGAAGACTCAGGGTTACGAAAAATTAATTCCGTAAACATAAAGGCGTTCGAATTTGCGAGTAACCAAGGATACTATAAACCTAAGAATTCATCCATGACAATTTCTACACAATGTTTTAAAAGTTGTGTTAATGTAAATTGTATGAAGAGTGGAATAGAGAAGGGATGACAAAATACTGAAGCTACTTTTTATGAGATACTGTTTCGCTTAATTGAAAGTCTGTTTTGTGACTTTTTATTCCGAAACCTTGCCCTTTTGTCTTTACAGCTACGGTTTGATCTGGAAATGGAATGTAAAAGATCTCCGTCACGCTCTCTGCCTTATGCTCGGCCAGCATTTTAGGGAAGCGTTCAAAGCCTTGTGAAGTATGAAACAACCACTTGCATCTTCCTCACTATTCACCTACAATTTATTACGAAGTCGGATCAAGAACTTTTAAGGTTTTACTTCATCTGTCGTTACTGTAATTAATTCTAGTGTTTTTCTAGAAACTTTTCAGTATCATAAAACTGTTCTTCATTTAAAGCAGTTAGTCCCCTTCAGGTGTATAGCAATGAGATGTCATTCAGTCAGCTACAACGTAAGACCAGGCACATATATGCATCTTTCAAAATTGCCACACATAATTAGCTCAACAAGATGACCACCAAATTTATAGAAGTAATTACTTCAATGGTAGTAATATATAAAAGAAAGATTACATATAAGGATATGGTGTTGTGGTGTATGCTACTTATGTTTGCCGATATAATTAGTATGTAACATCAGTCGAAAGTGAAATGTCTGTGAACAGAAAGTTGAGAAGATTAGAATGCAGAGGAGAGAGAAGGAAATTGAAAGTAATCAAGATAACAACGAGAATGAAGGGACGGTGAAGCTTGTAATAGACGATTCAAAGATGATGTGCAAATCATATATGATTTTCACATTTTGTTAAACCACTGTGTGACCGTGCATTAAAAAATAAATTGGTTATCCCCATCTGAGTGTTCATTCACTACACTATTTCTAAACTCATTTAGACTCATCAAGATGTTTTATTCATTGACGAGATTACTTAAGGGTCGACGGAGATAGACTTACTCTGTATAGTAGAATCCAATGAGGATTTTTAATCCTAATTAGACATCAGATTGTGTGAAGGTGTATACCCCTTGAATATTGGATTTTGAACTAGAGACAAAGCATTGATAACATTTACACCATGATGAATAAAGACTTAAGTTATCCCGTTGTTGATATTGTTGACTGAATTTTGATCAGTTGTTGTTGACATATGTGTATCGTGTGTAGACTATCTCGGTATAACCACTTTGTCGTAAGTCTTATGGACTCGATGCGTTGTTGTTAGCAGTAGTGAATATCAAGAACGAGATAATTCTAAACCCTTACCATTAATGGTTATGCAAACTCACTAGCTCATGGAATAGCAATTTTGGCGTTTTGAGTAGAACATACTGGGTGTGTGCCCCAATGTGACCATCGATATACTGTAATGAATGTAGATTGAGCTACGACGAGTCTCAAATAGGAAGATGACACGGGCGTTCAAGATTTCACTGCTCTTTACTATCCATTTATTATGTTGATAACATTTGTTCTTATTTACTTGTTGTTTTTTTTATCTCTGAAGTGGTACAGCTGTAGAAACAGATTTTGTTGAGTGTCCATCACAAATGCTGGAAAATTGGGTATGGAATGTTGACGGACTGAAAGCGCTACTTGGTACAAATGATGATCCAATTCCAAAAGATTTATTAGCTAGTCTAATTAATTCACGTATAGCAAATGCTGGTCTATTTTATTCTCGACAAATACTTTTAGCCTCATTCGATCAAGCCATTCATACAACGAACTGGGAAGTGAGTTTGATGCTTTTGGGTAAAGAAAATAACAGGTTCTTGATGTTCGTTTTCTGACTTTTCCCTGGACACACTAATCACTTGTCGAAATGTTTTGATCAACCAACTCCACCATTTCCCCAATGGAATCCTCTTTTTCATTTGATGTGTGTTCCCGACCGTAGCTGCTACCTTGACGCTGTGGTCGGGCTTGCCTATCGTGATGACCCAACCGAGCTATTTTGGCTGGAACATGTTTCTGTAGGTTCTACCACGCCAGGCAGGTCGATTGATGAACGGTAAGACTAAAAGCAGCAACTCAAGGTCTGAGGACGAAGTCGTACTGCTGACTGTAGAGCGGTGTGACAGCAGTAAGGTGTTTCCCTCGGACGACCAGCATGACAGCGATGCTGCCTTCCCACAAGGAGGGGTGGGGTTAGAAAAGGTCGACCCTAAAAATGTCACACCTCACCTTACCTCGCAGATTTCCGTCTCTGGTGGTAAGGCCCTTTGAAGAACGGAGCTAACACATTAAAAACCTTCCACAAAAAGGCCGTGCGCGACCGGCCTCAAGCAGTTGTCCCTCGGGCTCTGCGGTCGCGCTCCCAGGTCGTCAAGACCGACATTAATTCGACTTCCTTTTCAGGTTCCTCAAGAAATACCCTTCCACGGTGTGGTCAGTCGGGAAGTGATATCAGCCCTCATACCCGTAACAGCACACGAGACCGAGTCGGTTACATTCAAATCCTTCCTACACCTCCTAATACCACTCTTATTTCCCCGACTAACCCTTCTCACGTCCTTTTATCACTTTGCACCGCTAGGGCAAACGATTCGAGTACGTGGAACGCTTTTCCTGGTCTCCTGAAACCACGCTCTAAACTTCATGTTGGAGCTTATAATGTCCAAACACTGTGCCAAACAGGACAACAGACTTCCTTAGCTGGGACTCTAGAATCTCGTGCCATCGATGTGTACTGCGTCTCCGAAACGCGCATACAGGATCCGAGTAGCATCATTCATTTGACCTCACCATGTCAAAATAAAGAACCAAATCGATTCAGAGCAGAACTAGCTCTCTTAGACTGGATCCCAGTAGACAGTCGTTTGTGCTCTGTCCGACTGAATGGAACAGTAAGGATCCGAAAAGATAGGGACACTCGTCGTTGTCTCTTCGTCGTCTCCAACTGACTTCAGCGCAGATGATGTAAAAGATGAGTTTTACAGAAAGCTTTCCGACCTCCTCCTATAAGCTAGGCACTCTGATGTAGTAATAGTGGCCGGTGACTTTAATGCGCAAGTAGGTAAACTAAGAGAAAGGGAAAGACACATGGGTGGATTTCATGGTGTCGTGGCTCAAAGAACTGATAATGTCGACCGTCTGTTGCAGCTATGCTCAGATGACCGCCTGTTCCTTGCAAATACTAACTTTAAGCATAAGGAAAAACATCTTTTAACATGGCGACCCCCTAATTCGTCTCAACGTTGGACCCAAATAGATTACATCGCTATCAGCCACCGATGGAGGGGCTCGATAGGAGACTGTCGCTCATTCTGGAGCACGTGCTTAGATTCAGATCATGCTCTAGTGCGAGCGCGTATTTGATTGCGTCTTACTGGACGTAGGAAAGACGCTGTAAGGAAACCTCTTAGGCGCCTACTTAATGATAGTCAAGCTAAGAGTATATTTCAGGAACAACTAGGAAAAGTTTGGCAGCCATGTATGTGATGCCCACCCCGATGCAGCATGGGATGATATCCGAAAAGCTGTGGAAACAGCAGTGATATCTGCTAGTAAGGTAAACCGTAAAGTTAGGGAGAAACACTGGGTCTCAGCAGCATCTATCGCACTGATAGATGCTCGGAAACTCATTCCACCTGGCTCTGAACATAATGAAGAGCGGAGTCAGCTTAAGTGCAAGCTGACAAGAAGTCTACGCAATGATCGTGAACAGTGGTGGGTAGCGAAAGCAAGAGAGATGGAAAAGGCAACGGCAATAGGTAATAGCAGACAATTGTTCAGACTCGTTAAGGAAACCGGAATTAGGAACCCGACCGTTAGCGAAACAATCTTAGAGAAAGATGGACATATTATTCATTCTCAATCCAGGAGATTGGATCGATGGGCAGAACATTTCAGGGATCAGTTCAACTGACCTTCAGCCACACTTCGGTTTCCAACGATCTCTAGTCAACCTGAATGGCAAGTTAATGTAGGTCCTCCGTCCCTTTACGAAGTTGAAAAAGCCATAGGAAATCTGAAACGAGGGAGAGCAGCAGGCCCTGACAGGTTTACTCCTGAGATTTTTAAGGATGGTGGTCCAGTATTAGCAATGAGATTAACCGAGGTCTTAGGTAGAATTTGGGAACTGGACGTAATCCCATCTGACTGGTCTCAATCACTGATTGTGCCAGTCTATAAGAAAGGACAAAAGTCCTCTTGTGACAATCACAGAGGAATCAGTTTGACAAATATAGTATCTAAAATATTAGCTTCAATAGTACTTCGACGCCTAATCAAAGCTCGTGAAGAGCAGATTAAAGAAAACCAGGCCGGTTTTCGACCTGGACGTGGTTGTATAGACCAGATATTCACACTACGTCAGGTTCTAGAACACAGACACACATTCAGACGCCCCACAATGGTAGTATTTCTCGACCTTAAGGCGGCATTCGACTCTGTTGATCGTGAGGTTCTATGGCAGTGTTTGTCACTGAAAGGAGTACCAAAGAAGTACATTAACCTTGTAAAGGCTCTCTACTCGAACACAACTGGTCGAGTGAGAGCTTATGGCGAACTGTCATCAGAATTGATTACCTCAAGTGGTGTTCGTCAGGGCTGTTCACTCTCCCCATTCTTGTTCAACTTTGTCGTTGACGTACTTTTAGAGATAACACTTCCCTCATCTAGATTTCCAGGGGTTGAACTTCTACCAGGAGGTTCACTTGTTGACTTAGAATATGCTGATGACATAGTTTTATTTAGTGAAGACGCTGACAAAATGCAGAGTCTTCTGACCACTCTAAGCAACAATGCAAGCATGTTCGGGATGCGATTCTCTCCCTCGAAATGCAAAATGTTGCTTCAGGATTGGGTTGCGTTGACACCCGAACTAATGATAGGGAGTGAAGTAATTGAGCGTGTCGATCGCTTCACTTATCTTGGAAGTCTCATCAGCCTTTGTGGTCTGGTGTGTGACGAAATCTCAGTACGGATACAGAAGGCTCGACTAGCTTTTACCAACTTGCGTCATTTATGGCGTAGGCGAGATATCCGTCTGCTAACCAAAGGACGTGTTCACTGAGCAGCAGTTCGTTCCGTCCTACTTTATAGCAGTGAAACGTGACCGGTAAGAGTAGAGGATATCCGTAGGTTACTAGTATTCGATCATAGGTGTCTTCGAAACATTGCTCGTATATCATGGGACCATCGAGTAAGTAACACAGTTGCTAGGAAACGGGTACTAGGTAAGGATGGCAAATCAATTGATGAAGTAGTGAAACTTCATCAGTTGAGATGGCTGGGACACGTGTTACGTATGCCCAACGACCGACTGCCTCGACGTGCTATGTTCAGTGGTATGGGAGTAGGTTGGAAGAAAGCTAGAGGCGGCCAGACCAAAACATGGCACAAGTCCATGAAGCCACTGACAAGTTGACTGAGGCATGTTGGTAGGTGTAGACTATCTGGTTGGGGACCGCGAGATGATAGCAACCGATGGTTAGAGACCCTGAATGACATGGCTCGAAATCGTTTGCAATGGCGCAAGTGCGTCCACTCTTTGTGTTCTCCCAAATTCTAATCTTCTGAATTCTTCATGTTCCTTTTTTTCTCTTTCCCAATTTATTTCACTCGATTATACTCCTTGAATAACATCTCCAAACCCTAATGTTTCTGATTACTGCTTATACTTTTACTACCTCTACGACTATGGGAGTAGAATCGACAATTGTATCTCTGTGCTAATGTGGTGTGGCGACTCGAACTGATGTACATATGTACGAAGTTCTACGTTGTTACAGACTGACTGATGTGTGTTTGTTCTCTTTGGAAACTATAATGACCATTATTATTATCATTATTTATCATTAACATCATATTCTTATAACTTCATTTTTTGTTTTGCATTTTAAACACAGGATGATCCTCTAGTTACTTTTACGAATTTAAGTAAAAAATGGTTGGGTATTCAACCGATACCAGATACTTTTTGGCCTGCATCTTTTGTTCATTTAACTTGTGGTTATGATGCACGTTTCTATAGTTATTTAGTAAGTTAATAAATACAGTCACTTATGTACTTGTAATCCTAAATTTCTCTCATGGCTATCGTGATTCATGATTAATGGAAATAAATCAATCACAATCGGGATTGACATTTCTGTACTGAGTATAGTTGTTCGAATGCAAACACCATTTACTACTGTGGTGTATGCTACTGATGTCGACAGATATAAGTAGTATGTATCATCAGTCGAAAGTTATCAAACTTCACTAGAGAATTAGTAAAAACACTTAAACTCAACATAAAACCTAACTGAAATATTTACTTCACTTGTTGTTATTTTACTTGTATCTTCCCATTGTTATTTAGGACTGCAATTGATCAGTCTCATGTTGGCATATGTGCATTCTTGCGAATTGCCTCGATATAGTCTCAAGTCACAAGCTTTTTAAGCAAAGATGAATAATGGCTAGTGATGGTATCCAGGACGCGCGTTTCGTCCTATTTGGGACGCGTCAGCTGGACGAACCTGCAACGCAGAGTTGATGTTCACCCCGGGACTCGAACCCAGTACCGTTCGCTTCAGGACTCAGTGGTTAAGTGGATAACGCGATGGCGTTTGGAGCGAACAGTACTGGGTTCGAGTGCCGGAGTGAACACCAACTCGGTTGCAGGTTCGTCCAGCCGACGAGTCCCAAATGGGACGAAACACGCGTCCTGGCTTCCACTGCTAGCCATTATCCATTTTTGCTTGAAATATTAACTACTCATTGTTTGTAATTAATTACGCTAAAAAGATATTATATAAGTCTCACCCTAATTGTTTATATCAATGTAAAAATCATAAATGAATACACTTACATATCTAGAATTCGTTTACTAATCTATTCATAAGCTAGTCTATATTGATTTCAAAGACTATGATTTCTTTTCTCTCGTCACCTATTTATGTGTAAAATATTTTTAAAGTAATTGAATGTGTTTGGTGTGAACGTGTTCTCTTGCTATGCTTGCATCAATAAATAATACTGGTATCCACTCTTCAGCCAATTCATGTATACTGACTCTTAAGGCCTCATGTGGGGCCTTTTCTCACCAAGCTCCAATCAAAATACAAAGAGAACACAACTGATGTACTCTCTCTCTCTCTACATGTGTATTGTCTTGAAAAACTCACGTAATTTACTTATCGATAACGGACTACAAATAAACAACTAGATGAACTGAAAATATGTAGTCGAACAAACTTGAGGTGTTAACTGTTTTGGCCAATTAAGAGACGATGAACGTAAATAAAATATAAATACTGATTTCCTAATGATTAGCTTCTAAACCTTGCCACTCACACTTATTCATCTTGTTTTAAAGTATATAGAATATTGTTTACTTATAGTTTTTTGGTTTTGTCTACAAATCCAATCTATTCTAACATTTACTTTTTACTTAAAGTTGAGTAGAGTATACAGCACTGATATGTTTGAATCACGTTTTCAATGTGCTATGGATAGTGGTTGCTTAAGTAAATCAGTTGGAAGAGATTATCGTGAGAAAATTCTCCGTCCTGGTGGTTCTAAAGATGCTGCAGATATGTTGAAAGATTTTCTTGGACGTGAACCAAATGATGATGCTTTCTTCAAATTATTAAATGTTAATTTACCATAATTGAAGTCATTTGTCTTTCAACTTTTATTTTGTAACGAGATTTAATTATTTTTATTTGATTCCTTATTGTTTCTTATTTTCAATAAAAGTTTTTCCCAGCTTTTTATTACTATAGTTCTGATATCTTTTTTTCCCGAGATTCTTCTAAATAGCAGTCGTTTTTATGGAAGTTATTCCATCTTCATTGTTATTCTAGTCTACTCTGAATGAGATTGTGCACAATGGTTTCAATGCTTAATTATGATGTTGTGGGCAATATATTCGGGTATTTTCCTGAATGTTCAGTGGATAAGTATTATTATTATTATTATTATTATATATAGGTTGTATACTTTTCATAAACGCGCCTGAATAGATTGTGTGCACAATAGACATAATGATGTGCTAAAACAAACAATAAAACAGATAACTTGATGAAATATCTAGATCGGAGGAACAGGTAGCCCAGATATTCAAGCAGGCCGCCTTCATGTTAAGTGAAGTTTTCAATTTACCTACCTAAAGATATCCGTAAATGTTTGATACGAATATGTCTAATGTATCACAGTTCAGTATTTTGGAGGGAAAGCGCAGATTTCATGAAAGTTAGGGTCTGAAACACATTGCCTAATGGAGTTGATACTACAATACGACACTCATTCACTACATGAATGAAAACATTGCCGATAGTGCTGCATACGACATATTTCTTGAACATTAAATGTGTTGTTCACAACTTTGATGTGTTATTTTAAAAAGAATGGCTAGGTTGGCCGATGGCTATTTGGTTATCGATTAAAGGAAGTATTGAACAATTTACATATTCAATAGTATACAAGATTTTCACCTCCAAATTGTTTGTTTGTCAACGAGTCACAGATTTGTCAGTTAACACGATTCTAATCGTTGACATTTTCCCCTATAAATCAATTCATGACTCTAATAACTTTTTCAGGTGGTTCAAAGTTTCTGTTAGACCGTCTTGGCATGTAGCCAATGAGAAAGTAAATTTTAAGGTGTTAGATCGTAGGTTCACTGAATTATGACAGTGTAGACTAAAGCATAAACCTAGTGACATAATAATTACATTTCCCAAACTCTGTAAAAAGGGTTTGAGCATTACGCGAATAATGATTGTAATAAGAAAGGACATAGGGACTAGGTGAAGTTGGTTATAGTTTAAAGATTAACAAAAACTATGACGTGTATGGTGGCGAGTCTCGATGACTATCTAATATGGTCCAATAACTTGCGGCATAATTGTAAAGGAGTATTACTAGAATCATAAAAAGTCCAATATTCGAACATTGAACAATACCAAGCATTTGGTCAAAATATACTCGGCATTCAAAGTCACTTACGAAGTAGACAAAAATCCAACAAAGACAGTGAGCTTCTATCTCAGCATTACTACATCCTTAACTATGCATTTAGACAAGCTGGAAGTGTGTCTGTTTTAGGGAGTATAAAGAGCAAGGCGTTTTTATTACATGTTTTTGAACTCAGTACAATTTAACTAGTTATATTTTCTAGATTCCTATATTTTAACTTGATGCCTTTTTGTCCAATAAGTATAGAAATTAAAGTTATAAAAATTATATTTTACAAAATAAGTGATAAATCTCCCCTATATTATCGTTAAAAGTACTCGCCATCTGTTGTGGTAAGTTTATTTTCATCTCGACGGTTACTATGAGTCATTAGATGTCAGTTACTTTTCTATTTAAGGTTTACTTGTCACATCTCCCCTATGCTTTACCATTTTACATTTATCTGTAGACAAGTGTTTTACCGCAAAATGGAAATAATTTTAAAAGGGATAAAACTGATCGCAAATCCATTGGACAAAGTAGTGTAATTAAAACTTTCATTGATTAGTAGTATAAGCAAAATTCAAGGTGATATAGCACCAAGTATAATACGACGAAGAGTTTTATTATTGTTTAAAACAGCCTTTATTTATCAGTTCGTGTAATTGGTGTACAGAGTAGTACTACATTTGGTTGCAACGTCTAAAAGTATGCAATCTCGTTTCCAAATCACTTGTATGCTTCTCTCAATATTTAAGAATGCTTCAATACATCATATACAACTTAACCTCCCCTTTAAGCATGATTGAAAATTGTAGATTTGGATTACCAATCACTTTTATAACAAACTTCAATTGCGGTCTTGGATTAAAATGAAGTGCAAAACTCTACTATTAAATGACGAGACGTAGTTCTTCTATGTTACGTTATTACGTTCTTGAACTCCCAGTGATTGTCATGAAGGTTGTTTCAATGAAATTAGGTGAGGCGGGTTTCGAGCCTGAAACCCAATAGTTGGACAATAACGTGAATCTAATTGTCCAGTTGGTTATTAATAAGGCTTCGAAATGAGTGGTGATCAAGTACCACATGCATAGTTTCAGCTGAGATTGTATTATTATTTAATATAACTTCCGTATTGTGACATAGTAATTTGTGTTATTGTATATGATAACACTACGTAATCATAGTTCCTAACACGAATTCATGGTTCGATAAAGGCAAAATGACTTCGTCAATATACATGTGACCTTGAAATCAGCTCATCAGAAAACAGCCAATCAACATTCAGCTTTTATGAAAAGGACTTTAAAAAAACTGATAAAATTATAAAGGATTTAAAGTTTTAACAGGATTAATGAACATACTAGGGTTAACTATCGATACTGTAATCCGGCTGACCCCTAACAGCTAAATCCACAAGAAAATCATCAAGTCCTTTCAAAACGCTAAATCTAATCAAAATCATGGCTCACAGTAACAAACTATTCACAATAGTGCTTTAAATTCGCGCTAATATCTAACGTCGGGTACCTTAGTTTTGACAGGACCCTAACGACAATCAGTGTAGCATAGTTTTACTTATTCGTAAGCACATTACTTTAAATATACTTAACATTTGGTTTATGGAGATTTGTATCGATTGTATTGTCTGTACGACTTACTTACGCCTGTTACTTCTCGTGTAGTAGCATAGGCCGCCCACAAGCACTCTCCATCCAACCCTATCCTGGGCAATCCTTCCCGGGTTTTTTTCAGTTGTTAATCATCCTTTTCATATCTGCTTCTATTTTCCGACGTAATGTGTTCTTTGACCTTCTTCTTCTCCGTTTCCCTTCAGGATTCCAGGTTAGGGCTAATTTCGTGATGCAGTTTGTTGATTTCTGTAATGTATGTCCTATCCACTTTCAACGTCTTTCCCTAATTTCTTCAGCTGGAAGCTGGTCTGTTCTCTCCCACAGAATGGTGTTGCTGATGGTATCCGGCCAATGGATGTTGAGTATCTTGTGTTGACAACTATTTATAAATACTTGTACCTTCTTGATAATGGTTGTAGATTGTCTGTACGAACATACATCAAAATTTGCACGAATAATTTCACATAAGACATGATTGCGATCACGATAGCAACAGGAATGAAGTAACAATGAAGCTTGTACGAGACAGTTCAAAGATGATGTGCAAATGATGTATTAGATGTATGATTTTCACATTTTGTTGAATCATCGTACAATTGTGCATTAAACCATAAATTGGTCTTCTCCACCTGAGTTTTCGTTCACTACTTTCGGTGTCGCTGCCAAACGAGAGGTGGATGGGGTGAAATCCTGCGGAGAGGAGTCGCTAGTCTAAGCGGACTTGCGCGGAAAGGCGTGACTTGTAGAGTGTTCTAGCGGGGCGGCGTTGGCTGTAGCACTCGCTGTCGGCTGAGGGAAGAAGCAGCGCGTCCGGTCTCTGGGCGGATATGGTTCGATGAGTTGCTGGGACCACCGTGCCGGCGGACTCGACATTCCAGCGTAGCACAGACTGCGGAAAAGAAGGAAGTGATACGGAGAGCAGAACGACCGTAAGAATGACTTTCTTTTAAACGGGGCGGACAAGTACGTGTATGGTACTTATGCTGAAAGGTATGAGTAGTATGTAGCACTAATCGGAAATGGATTTAATGTCAGCAGAAGGTCAAGAAGATTCAACTGAAGGGAAAAGAGAGTATTTTCAATAAAAACGGGATCGAAAGAATCATGAGGCACGTAAAGGATAACTGAAGAGAGATGTATAAATTATTCATTTAACGTATGGTCTTTTTTTACGAAGGCACTTTGTCGTTTCGCACTAAACAATAAGTTGGTTTCCCCCTAAGAGTCTTTATCTACCACAGTAGGACGTGGGACTTGTAGATCAGTTTATTTGATTGAACAAAGTCACCTTAAAATGTCTAGAACATCAAAGTAAAACATCATTTTGCATATGTCGCGTTTTAGGTCTGAAAATTTGATAAGTTGGTGTCAGCACTTTTTACACAACATGACATTAATTTTCATTGCAACATACTTTAACTAAATAAACGTATTTAGATAATTATTCTGTATTCTCATACTACTATGTTCATCATACTACTTATAATTACATTGGTTCTCAGTTGAGCATACTCAACCCATATGTTAGTAATGACTTAATATGCATATGTGTGTTGCGTTTCTCTCGAGCTCAGTTTTTATTAAATATATCACTTCCATTTCCTTGACTTTAATTACCCATTGCCATAATTTTAACACTTAATATTCAAAGACTAATATTAATCTTTTATTATGATGGAGATCTCTAAATCTTAATATTCGTTGTTTTTACTGGTTTTTTAATCTCACAGATTCTCTCAACTGTGATTTCCTCTATTTCCTGTAGATTTTCTAAGTCTTTGCACTTTTCGTTGAGAGATGTCTTGAACACTCAAGTGTTGTTGGTTTCTCGAATAAAAACTTTATTAGACTATCATAGTAATAAAGATCCCACAATCTACACAAACCCTCCCTTACTAAAAATGTTGAAATTATTAAGAGGTTTCGTTTTCCTTTTGTAGGTAATAATAATGATAATAATATTTGTTGAACAAAATAATTGTTTTCTGGACTCAATAGCTCAGTGCATAATGCATTGGCATTCCAAGTGAAAGGTGCTGAACTCGAGTCTCATTGTGTACATTAACCATGGGTTATAAGTACATCAAACTGATGTCTCTCAAATAGGATGAAATGTACGTTTTGGACTCTACTGCTAGACACAACACATTCATTCTTTAAAACGTGTGATAAAACGGCT